CCCCTCGAGCACCGAGCCATCTTGCAAGGGAACCCTGACCCGGGTGCGGTCTTGCAACACTCTGGACAGAAACCTCAAGAGGCCTACAGCATAGTCTGTATCTTGGAGTTCGAGGAATGACGAGGAGCCGAAGGCCCTGTTCACCGCCGACATCTTGAAGTCGTCGATGATGCGGATTTTGGAGTCCTCCCCTTGCCTCAGAAGGAAGCGTGGCGAGAGCGACCATCCCTCTGTCTTCAGGAGGTCGCTGACCTCTTGCTCCGAGTGGTATGGTCCCGAGAGGAAGCCCGCAGCCACTTCCTCGGCCGTCTCTTCTTTCAACGCTTTGTAATCCTGCTCCGAGGTGAGGCCCTTCATCCTTTGCAAAGCACGGCGGCGCAGGACGGCCTGGGCTTTCAACTGGTCGGGCTCAAGGTCTTTAGGCTTAGGGCGTTTAGAGAAGAGGGGGGATTCGGTCTCCTGTCCAACTAGCGGCACTCCCTCAGTGAGCAGATCCACTACGGACATGTCGGGAAAGCCCGTCTCCTCAAGAAGATCCCGGAACAATGCAATGGCTTTCCCTCGCGTGACTTCCTCCACAACCGGGTGCATCTTAGCACGAAGTTCTTTCTCAGTGGAGGCCAAAGCCGCCATGCGCTCGTTCAAGGATTTCAGCGCTAGCATCCTCTTCCTGGACACGGCTACGGGGCCCTCCGTGAGGATGGCGAAGATGTTACGCCGCACGGCATCAGGAAGACGGGTACTGGTATCGGCAGGGCTTGAAAGCTGAGAGGCACAGTGCAAGTGTTCTTCCATGGAGAAGTAAACCCCTGCAAGGTCCCCAACCTCCCCATCACCTTTCAACCTGGGCTTTTTACTGGGGCTCGGCTCAGCATTATCCCCCGCTTTAGAGCTCGGGGCCCGGGAGATAACTTTGTAATCAGCCCCTGGCGGCACCTGGGATAAGGGGAGCCTAACCCGAAACTCAGGGATTAGGGGAGGCATATAGGCAGGCTGATTGGCAGCAGAGGCACGCACCTGAGCTCGGAGGCGGCGGCTGCGAACGGCATCGGGCTTATGAAGCTTTAGGCCAGAGCAGGCTTGTGAAGCGGAATGGCAGAGGGCACGGCACAAGTCAGGCGGCAGAGAAGCGTCGTCAAAAGCGGATGCCCCGGCGCACGGCAGCCACGGGCGATGTTGGTGGCTTTTGTCACAGCCCCGGTCGAAGCCGCCAAACGAGGCAGTCGCCGCACGGAGTCTGAGGGAGGTCAGGAAGGGCGCCCCAAACATGCAGGTGTCCAACTCCTGGTCAGCCAAGGCAAAGTACCATTCGCGAAAAGCTTTATGGTTGCGCTGTTTGACGAAATGGGCAATGAGGCTCCAGCACCAGCCACGGGCCGGTCCGAGCAAAGTAACCAGAGCTTGAGTCTCGTAGGCCCGAAAGAGTAGCTGGACGACAGCCTGGCACAGGCCGTTATCACGCTGCAGGAGGGCGGAGGCTGAGTCCCCGGAAGAAGGGCAGCCGAGCAGATGATCAGCCGACCGAAGCGCGGGGCGGCCACGAGAAGCCGGGGCGGGGCTGCATGATTTGAAGAACAGGTTAAAGTGCCACCAATCTACCACGGCAGAGTGGTCGTAGTCAAGCAAGCTCTGCAGGTCTTCTGGAGCAGCCAAGTCCGCTGGCACCAAGGGGGAGCCTTCTAAGCCCGATCGCCGGCGGCCGAGCGGTATAGCATCCCAACCGGCTTGCAGAGCAGCAGCCGCCACGGTCCCGGCTTTGGCAAGACAGTCTATCATGAGAGGCGGACGCGGCGCCAAGGAGGGGCCCTGCGGCAGCAGGGGGTTGCAGCCCTCAGTTGACGTCGCGGAAAGAGTGGAGCTTTTGGGCTTGACGGGCTTTGACGGGCTCTGTCGGGGCACCTCAGCTGAAATTGGGGACGCCGGTGGCGAAGAAACAGCGGCACAGGAGCTGGCAGCACACGCAGGCGGCAGGATTGGACGCATGTGAGGTGCCACCGAGATCGGCATAGATGCGCACACGTCGGTCGAGGCCAACAGGGCCGTCGACGGCATAGGGAAACCCAAGCTCTCCAGGACCTTCATGTCTGCGCCGGAGATGCGCCCAGCTTGTTGCAAGGTAAAGAGCACCAACACAACGCGCCTGCCTCGAAAAGGAAGGGTGCAATGCTCGTAGCTCCGGGCACAGAATTGGATCGGTCCTTGGGATACTGCAAGCTCGATCTGTTTGTTCGGCTCATTCACCTGGACAGAACCACCTTGAAAGGAGCTCAGAGGAATCACATAATTCGGTAAAAATGCATTGTGGCGGTCCCGGTGTTCCCGGGTCTGCACTTGGTCGAAAATGGCAAAACTCGTGTAGACAGCTTCAGGTAGCAAAGCGGCGACAAACCGGTTCACCACACGCAGTGTCTCTGGAAAAAGGTTGCATGCCTTGCGTAAACTCACCTTAACCCTAGAGTAAACACCTGCTGAAAAGGAACGCCCTTCGGCATCCCGGTCACACTGCTCATGGGGCAAGGCATCAAAAAGGCTCAACACCTGGGCAGCGGTAACAGGCTCACTCTGAGCTAAGATTTGCCGGGCAAGGTCCTCGGGGCAAGGAGGGGAGAGTCAATGTTTGCACTCGATGTACGGTCTCTCGGCCCCGCACCCCTTGAAATTGCACATGTGCTTTCCGAAGCGGCAAGACTTGCGCTTCTGGAACCTGCAGATGCCCTTGTTGTAGAACGGGCAGATGAAACGCCCTTCATCGTTGGCCCGGACACACCCATCGGGCAAGGAATCAAGCAGCTCCTTTAACGAAGTCGTCGGGGGCCCATCGGTTTGGGCCTGGCCGTGAGAGGTTTTCCCTTTTCCACGACCTTTGCCTTTGCCTCCCCTCTCGCCCTTCTGATCGCCTTTGTCAGGACCTTTGGGAGGCTTCCACGGCTGGTTCGGACTCTCAGCGGGCTTGGGCAGGTGAGTCAAGCACGACAGAACGAACTGATTGGCAGCAGCGGCAGCGATGTGCTTGTCCAAAGGGGCCGGGGCCCCGACTCCAATGGCGATGTCGCCGCGACTCTCTTGGGCCACCACCTGCCAAAGCTTCTGGTCTGCAGCGAGGAGTTGCTGAACAGTAGTGTAGCGATAACCTGCCGGGGGCACATCAAGCAGGGCCTGGAACATCCGGTTATGCCAAGACTCCAAAGCCGTGAACGAAGCCAACCCCACTTGATCGAAGGCTAAAGCTCGACGGAGGAAGCAGCGGCGCAGCTTAAGTTCCCCGGTGGTCTCGCACCGAAGGCTCGAGGCTTGCTTGGTGATTTTGATGTTCCCATCGGCGCCCAGTGCTAGCTTCGGCTCTGCCTTCTCTCCCAAGATCTCGTCATGACGGGAAATGCACTTCTCGGGGGAGATGTGAATCACTTGGGCTGAATCAAGCATGGCCTGGACCCTGTCAACCAGGGCATGGCCTGGCTCCGTGTGGATGTCGAGCTCCAACCCTTTGAGCTCGTTGCGCTGCCTCTTAAGCCTAGTCAACCTTTC